TGTCTATATTGAATGATTAAATCCACCTCTAGTGGCTATCTTCCTGGCCGACACTAGATACACTTTTGCCTTCAGAACTCAGTTCTTCAATCAAATGCAGCTCATAAAAGCATTTGATTGGAAAAGTGCAGCATTTTGCAGTGCGTGCATATCTCATCGGCAATGCTTTTCAGTGAGAAGCATTGGATTGGGCAAGATCATGGTAGACGTCAGCAGGTATGCTGACAAAGATGGAGACTGAGTGGTCAGCTACAGCAGAAGTGTCTCTCATTGCTAGAGCCAAGATAAGTAAACTTTAACTTTAACTTAACTTTGTAGCAGCAGTGGAGGATGGGAAGAGTTTAGATTATAGAAGGAAACTTATAGTTGCAAAAAAGTAGTATTTTCAGGACAGTAAGTTCCCTCTAAGCATTAAAAATGACTGGAAAAAGCTCTTCACAAATATCTAGAATGTCATTGTTTGTTCTTGCTGTTTGTATATAATATCTATATTTTGCAGTACACTGATTGGCCCATTTTTCACACAATTTTGGTTTGTCCAAGTCCTTTTTACAAAAAATGTTCGCCTGGATGAAACCTCCACATTTACAAATCCCAAATTGCCCAAAATAATATGTGTTCCAGACGAATCGATTCAGACAAACCAAATGTTTTCACTATGCGCCAGTCTACTAAGAATAGTATTTCCTTGTCAATGCTATAACTACTTGTACAACTTACTGTTGTTCAAGCATTGGATTCATGTATAGAGCTGCAAGCTTGAGTCTCTGCCTTCGGGATTTCAAGTAAATCATAGATTTTTCAAATTTCAGGAAAATATGCATTCTTTTTAAACCTATTAGAAGAAAATGATAAGTTACACTGAAAGAATGTTAATGACCACGTTTATCATTATAGTTTGCTTCTGTCTGTTCCTTGCCCATCCAAATTATGTTAATAGCATATTCGGGGCATTCTTGTATTCTACATAGTTAGAGTCTGGCATTATTTTTATGATATTAAAGAAATAGACCAGGACAATGATCTATCTGAAACATATAATATACCATTCTAATAAATGTTGGTGGGTGTCTGTGAGTTCCCTTTAAATTTCGAATCATCTTTCGAATCATAAAATTCTGATGTTTACGTCTATTTTATAATTGAGAATTATGCTGAACATATTAATGAAAAGCCCAATTAGCGTACGTTCACACTTTCTCATTTTCAGACCATTAATGTAATTTCTTTAATTATATTTTATCTTTAAGTGGGTTGAACAATCATGCATTAAAAGGGTGATCATTTTAATGCAAATTTATTAACTCTCAATGGGTGTGCTCCCTTGAATAATTCAATTAGGACATTAATTTTAGAGCAGTTATAAATTCCATTTTGAAGTTACAATTATTGTACATTCAGAACATGTTGAAAATTCAGAGTTGTAATTTTGTAGATTTTCCTTAGATTCCCACTAATGAAAATAATAATAGTATCAATGATGATTCTTATAGGTTGAAATCATGTAAAAAACCTAAGTAAATTTGTAAAGTAAATGATCTATAAAAGTCTGTAGTTCATGTAATGAACTAATGCACTTACCATGCACTAATTTGTCCTCATCAATGTGCCATTTTGTGTTATATCACAAAGTTACCTTTAAAAAAAAAAAATCAACAAAAGTGGAAGCATAAATAGTACATTTTTCTGTAGTACATTTTTCTTTTTGGAAATGAAGAATGTTAGTTACCTAAAACTTGGGAAAAAAATAGAGAAATACATTTAGCTCTTGATGGGTTAATCTTGGGAATGTTCTTCAATCAAACGAAACATGAACAGGAATGTTTTAAATTTAATTTCCTAATGAGCGGATATCCCACATTAAAGTAAGTACACTGGTAAATCTTAATGAAAAAAACAGACAATTTTGGATGGAGTTAGTAGTTAAATTAAGCATCTGGTCACAAATTGTAGTTGATGGATGTTACCCATTAGCTGTTTGGATGTGGACCAAAATGAATGCCTATCAACATCAGTGATTAGACAATGTTAATTAACGATGAACAATTTTTTTAAAGACTTTTTTATCCAAGAAGAGTTATTTTTGTTTGCGTGTTTCATAAGTACATGTATATGTTTGAGCATAAATTTACGTGTCATTTAGTGTAATTATCCCTACATTTCCAAAACATAAATTATGTCAAAAATGTAAGCATTAAAATGACAAACCAGATTTTTTAAAAATACACAAAAAAAATCAATCAATATATTTTTTTTTTTGCTTAAACTAAAAGTACGAATCTAAAGACAAATTTAGAAAACGTGATTTTTGTAATTCATTCATATTATGTAGAAAATATTGATATATGTGAATAATTTATTCGTTTACGTGGAACTGCAATTTGTATTTTGAATGCTTTTACAGCAAAATATCAACGGTGCATTGTTCAATTAAGAAGCCGTTTTAGTCACCGGTAAAGATAGGGAAGAGCCAATGTGAATTAACTACTTGAAGATTTGTTTCATTACAAAATGCAATTTGTCCGAATTTAGGCCAATCAGATGAGTATATGAATTTCCAAAATTCAAATCAAAATGGAGCTAAAATACAAATCAAATGGTAGGAAAATGCGCCTATCACCGTACTGCAATATATATATATATTATATTTACATTATTCATATATTTTATAATATACTGATTGAACCAATTTATCACTTTTGGCTCATCTGAGTTGTTTTTCTAAATCTTTTTTGTTAAAGAAATTTGATGAGTCAAATTGCCATATGGCTAGCAGTCATGCATGACCTATTTTTAATAGTGACAACAAATATCAGAAATTTAAATATCTAAACATTATCTGAAGCCAATAAGTGACTATTTTCATAGTTAATCATTTGAATCAGTATTTTCCTACAAATAATATAATTAAAGTTAACGCAATCCTTAATAATCAAATATTGCTTTAACTATTGATACAAATGTGTTTGCCGGTTGTGTTTAACCCCTTAAGGACACATGACATGTGTGACATGTCATGATTCCCTTTTATTTCAGAAGTTTGGTCCTTAAGGGGTTAAGTAATTTTCAAATTGTAAATTAAAGTTATTATATTACCATTATGTTCACACTGAAATTAACTTTTAGAATGCTTGAGTCATACCATGAGCAGACTTACTGGCATTTTAGGAATGGCCTTATTTGCTGATATGACATATTCCAAAAAATTCTTATGGGGATGAGCAAAGAAACAATGCAGTTAAAGTTCATACATTTGACAGCATGTTTATCTCCAATGTGATCTTTGCCTTTATATGGAAAGTAGATCAGATATACCTATTAGAATTTAAATAGGGGGATTAAAAATGGAGGTCATATAAGGATAACTAAGTGCCTCATAACAGCCTTTTCAGGTAAAGGGTTGTCTTGAGGAAATCCAGAGGAATAGATTTTATACTTGTTGTAAATTTGGATGAGTCGAGCCAAGGCTTCTCCAAGTCAAACAGTCTTTAATCTACCACAATTCATCACACATAGCTTCATGGTAATTGAGCATATGTAATTCAACAGTTCGGGCAAATATCCCTTTGTACTAGACAGTATTTTTTCTAATATCTTGTTTGTTGTATATTTTTGTTTATTTTTTCATATAATCATTCGTGGATTGGTGCCATATGCGTCTTATCAGTGGAAATTACTTTAAACATTAGGACAGACTTTTCATTGTCAATAAAATGCTACACTTCAATTCTCCTCTGCAAGTGATACAATTAGAAAAAGTCAGGTTAATATATAATGAAAATAACTTATAATATTGATCTTTCTTCCTTGATTTAGCTGTGACCATGAGACTGTTGAAGCCAAAAATGTGTTTGTGTGTATGTATGTATGTATAAATATACAACACATAGCATAAACGTTCAAAGACCTTGAAAGAAAGTGGCTACAGGCTATGAATCTTAATTTGACTTTAAACAGGGAACTCTTACTCGTTTTAAAAGTAATCAGATGTGAGCACAGTTTCTCAACAAATTGGGAACTTTTGATCTTGAGTCAGTTATTTTTCCTATGCTTGTTGGCTCAAAACTGACTGAATATTACGGGGTATGATCTTGGACCTGACCCAACCTCAAGAAATACTGTCTCATCAGTAACTATTATTCCTACACTGCCCAATGAAAGGTTTAATGAACCTTCAATCATTTCTCTGGCTTCCATGAACTGATGTTCTTTAATCAGCTAATGTGTTTGTGATGGCCCAGATAGATTTCATCAGGACTTCTGATGAACGGATGCAATTCATGAGGAGAACACTTTCTGGAAGACTCTTTTTCATAATAAAATATGCACTGTCTCTCCTGTCATTTGACATTTTTAGATGCCTAATCATTCATTAACATAATGCAAATCAAATTACCCACTGGCCGTGGCTCTAAAATTTAGTAATTGTACGACATGTACAAATTACATGGTTTGGAGAGAATCCTGTATTTGTGCTATGAAACGGACATTTAAGGTAATATAAGTCTAAATGAGGAAAATAGCTAGCTATTAAAAAGAGATTCAGCAATATTTATTTTTTAAGTACTAGAGAAGACCCTGAGGCGTTCTATTCATTAGCTAAAAATGTATTCACAATGTATACCTTCTAACAACACTACATACATAAATATTTGAGTCCAATAATTTACCCTCAATTATATATATATATATATATATGTATATATATATATATATATATATATATATATATACACATATATGCATTCGAGTTCATTACAAATTATTAGGGATAAAACCGTAACTTATAGGGTTCAACAAAACCAATTCATGTAACAAGTGTCTGTTGAGGTTATAAACTCCTCGCAGCAGCTACTTCCGGTATTGACATCAGGATCCTGCACTGTGACATTGGAAGCCCCTTTGTTTGCTGTTCTGTAATGTCGCATGTATGAAGAAACAAGCCGATCATTGCAGCAAGAGGAATCCCTTCCACCAGGATTAGCAGAATATATCTAACAATGCCGATGACTAGGGAAAGCTCGAAATATTCAAATGGAAAGAATCATTTTGATTATGACAATATTGCAATTTACTTCACCAAAGAAGAATGGGATTGTTTAAAAGAAGGAGACAAAAGATTATACAAAAATGTGATGATGGAGAATTACCAGATGCTCCAAATCCTTGGTTATGCCGATATGAAGCTGGCGGTTATATCTCACATTGAGCAAGGAAAAGAATCGTGCATTAAAGACTACCCTGACCCTCAGGAAAATATGTTTGGGTTGAACTCCAGAATAGCACTGAAACAACGAAGAAGATATGCCTACCAGAGAGCGCTGGCTTCTTGGCCCACGGAAACATCGGAAGACTCTTCCGATTCACCCTCACTACACAGGTCAAATTCTTTACGACAACTGGACATGTCGTTATCTTCTGATGAATCTGATTTATCACAGGACCTCTTAGCAGAATTTGAGTACAACAACTTGCATGTTGCTGAATTTACATAATCTTGCCTACCGCAAGAAGTCCCACTACACCATAACTATGTTACAGTTTGAGCCCCAGAAAACTCTGAAGAGGCATTAGATTGATTTAATCTACAGGCATTGAATCAGTTCCAGCAGCTGGAGCTACCATCAACCTCGGAAAGCTCAGATTTGTCATTGGACCGCTTTACAGACTTTGAAGCTGACAGATTGTCGGCCAATGGCAAACCTGCTTCATGGTCTGGAAATGCAATCAAACAAGAGGACCAAGAAGAAATGATTATGCATTTTGTAGACACATCATGCTCACAGAGTGCATTCTCCACCGTACCGCAGTTACATTCATGTTCTCAGAGATGAGATAGACCCTGCGGCGGTTCTTCTAGACAAGTCTGTAGAACAAATCCAGCATCTTGTGGAGCAGATTTCCTCTCACCAGGATTTGCCCTCACAATGATTATATCAGAGCTTTAAATTATCTGAGACGGGTAATTCAGATCTTTAATAACTATCGAGAAATACTGGAAACAAGACTTTTCCGCAGCCAGCTTTTGCAGTTGAAAAGAGAGAGACTGGCTTTACAGAGGGAGAGATTAGAGTATCTGAAATGCAACCTATGTCAGCAAATTGAAACGTCAAGTGAAGAGGAATGAATTTTTTCCACTTGGATATAGAAATTGCATTCAAGAGGCAACTCACATTTCACTTCATATGAAAGATGTGATGATCATTGATATATTTAAAGAAGTCCTAATAATAATCACATTATTACACTGCATATCTTCCCTCCTCCGTTAGATGCTCACCCAGTCTCCACTTCTTCAAAAAATCATTAAAGACCCACTTCTTCAAAAAAGCGTATCAATTAAACTGTTAATAGCTCCCGACTGATTCCTCTCTTGCAACTGTCACTAGTCTAATACTATCCTTACCTTTTTGTGTCATTTTACCCCACCCCCTCTAGCATGTAAGCTCATTGAGCAGGGCCCTCAACCCCTCTGTTCCTGTGTGTCCAACTTGTCTTGTTACAATGACATGTCTGTTGGTCCACCCATTGTAAAGCGCTGCAGAATTTGTTGGCGCTATATAAATAATAACATAATAATAATAATAATAATAATAATAATAATAATATTGTCTAATCAGCATCTTTGATATGCCACACATGTGAGGTGGATGGATTATGCTCACTAACACAGATTTGTGAACAATATTTGAGAGAAATAGGCCTTTTGTGTACATAGAAAAAGTCTTAGATCTTTGAGTTCAGCTCATGAAAAATGGGGGCAAAAACAAAAGTGTTACATTTATAATTTTGTTCAGGGTATATATAACACTTGCAATACATGTGTTACACATAGAAACTGGGAAAAGGTTCCATAAGACAAGTCCTTTCTGGAGTCCTTTCTAGTGAAGGAGAATGTCATAATAATTGCAAAAATCTAAGAAGTAAAATGAAAGGTCTCTCTCGTAAAGGCTATGAATGGTGTTTGCTCTAATGAAAAGATTGTAGAAGTTTCTGCGGGAATTACTTAGCTTTCATAAGACTAGGTTCAGCATCACAGTGTCTACAGGGTAAACAAAACAAACAAAGATTGGAACTGGAGGTGTGTCTGCTTTATGTAAAAGATTTACATCTAAAGTTGCTAATAGGATAACTAAAAGGTTCACATGGTCACCAGAAGAGTGCAACTCCAGGTAATATACACGCAAAACTTTAATTGTCAGTTAGGACCACAAGTCATCTTAAGTCTTTTGAGTCTGTAGGTGGTGCATACTCAAAGGTTTCTAAAGCTTCATTGTCTACTATTTTGAAACAAATTGTTACCAGTTAATTTTAGAGCTCCAATGTTTTCCTGTAATTTATCTTCAGTGTCCTTGTAGTGTCCATTAGCATTCTATGTTATTTGTGGTCAGGTGATGTGATAATAATTGCACATTAAATCGTTGTTTCTACATAACATTTTGGATTTATATTTATGGGAATCAAATTTCATTTTGATCGACCTCAGGATATCATTAGGGATATAACATTACATAGCATGGTATAAGCTTCACGTGGTTTCTACATGGTTTAGTGGAACGCGCTAGTGTTAAATTATCAAGTTGTGGAAGTTTTACATTTCACATCCTTCAAAATATGAGCATTCCAAAATGGTCTATAAATAATACTCTACACAGATGTGTTATAATTTTTAGGCAGCTTAATTGTGAGACAAGACTGTAAATCTATGACAACATTCTGATGCCATCTCGACTCCAAACATAAGTATCACAGCTGTCCCCGAAACCTTCACAGATTGAAATCTTCACTGAAATTGGACTTCATTACACTTTATATTATTCACATGGATTTTTTTATTATTTCTTGGTATTTCTAGTTATAATTGTCTTTCCCACACGGTACTTCTGTGAAATACATGTTGACTCTATTTTTTTAAAATCAAAAAATAATCAAAACAATATGTCTTCTTCACCAGAGAAACCCACGATCACCCCTATTGTCATGAAACTCAAATAGATTCATTTTCGACTAGTGCAACAAATGTTGGCAATTGGGGATGGAAAATGTTCTTCGCATTCAATTCATTTATTTTAGCTACAATTTAATATTTGCAAGATTGTTTTTCCTAAGGCTTTTCAAGGCCTGTCTTCCTAACCCCACATGTTTATAAAATGTATTTCTGTATAAGTTATTCAGAGGGGGAGTTTTAACGGAATAACTGCCACAAATATCCAAATATGTTTATTTAGAGCATTTTTGAGCTTCTTCAATTTATGTCATATTCTAGTAATATCTATCTATCTATCTATCTATCTATCTGTCTATCTATCTGTCTATCTATCTATGTATCTATCTCTATCTATCTATCTATCTATCTATCTATCTATGTATCTATCTATCTGTCTGTCTATCTGTCTGTCTGTCTGTCTGTCTGTCTATCTATCTAATATGCAAGTAGATGGCTGCACTCACGGTCTTTCGATAAAAATTTGCTTTTATTCCAAAATAGTTAAAAACTGGATCAACGTTTCAGTCCCCCACAGGGACTTTCTTCAGGATCATAAACATACATACATCAAACAATATGAATATATATATAAATAAGTATATTGACTTACCCCAGGTGCAGTGTGTTGAAACCCGCATCCTACCGGAAACCCGTGCGCATGCGTGATTGGAGCTCCCCCCCTAATCGTGACGTGATTACGTTGGTTCCGCCATCAGAACCATAGTAATGCGACTTAATTACAGTTTCTATGGGAAAGTGAAAACAATAAAGTGAGCTCCCTCTTCTGCAAACGGCTAATAAGCCCAAAGGACTCAGTGAGTTATAAAGTGCTGCATGGTTAGATAAAGGACCAGAGAAAAGCGGACGATTTTAGACAGAACTTCTAAGAAATAAAAGTTACATTGTGACGAGTACTGTAAAGTCCTATAAATATTAAGGTGTTATTGTATCTACAGTGATTCACTGTTAATAAAGTGGTCCTATGAGAACAAGTATATAGAAAGTGACTTTGTGCTAATATTAAAATATTAAAATAATGTGATATGTGCAAATAAACCGCCAGTAAAGGTGACACTGATACAATGTATAAACAAAGAAATAAAATTGTACTTGCAGACTATATGCATAGATAAACATTATCTATCTGTCTATCTATCTATCTATCTATCTATCTATCTATCTATCTGTCTGTCTGTCTGTCTGTCTATCAATTTATGTATCTATCTATCTATCTATCTATCTATCTATCTGTCTGTCTGTCTATCTATCTATCTGTCTGTCTGTCTGTCTGTCTATCTGTCTGTCTATCTATTTATCTATCTATCTGTCTGTCTGTCTATCTATCTATCTATTCCGGGAATCTGGAGGCAGAGCATTGTGCCAATGGCTCAGGATTGGATTAAAAGAGTAGAAGATATACGATTGGTACTGTTGGCCTCAGTTGGTAGCCAGACATATACTTCAGTATGGTTCTTCATTGTCTGTCCACTGGGTCCGCTGGCTCAGGACAAAATGCTGTGCCCTTATTACAGACATAGCCCTATACTAATCCCATGATCATCTCGCTCCTGAAAATTATGCACTGGCCATACTAGCTATGGGCTTTTTCTTTTTTTTTTTCTTTTTCCATCCCTACACCCCACTTCCACCCTCCAAGTATCTCTTTCTATCCACCTCTCAATTTCCAACTTTGCTGCCCGTGTCCTCTCTCAACACTAAGGCTCGGGATTTATTATTTTCTTTCAGGAATTTAATGTTATGATTTGTACTTACCATCTTAGACATCTGTCACAATGTTACTCATTTTTTTTTTTAAGGAAAATGTTTACATACAATTATGCCTGATATTGATATTGATACTGTTTGTATATAAAGTAAACTTCGACAACTAAAATAAAAAAGTTGAACATACTGAAATTAAAAAAAATTAATTAAAATTAATCTAGATCCTAAACGTATTAGGCATTGAACTATCAGGACTGATGTGTATTTATTTTGAGTTCTTTCTAATTAGTTGAACTGAATGCGCACAAATTATTATAAAAAAAAATCCCCAGCCTCCCCATTTTTAACATTTTATTCACACGTGATGTGTTAGATATGCGTATAGGATGCTAAATGAAATCTCTTTCTATTCTTTAAAAATATATATTTAGCATGTATGGGGGCACTTAAAGAGAAACTCATAAATTACAGTGGTACAAACCTATCGCTCAAATTAAAGGTTTTGTTTTGGTTCAAAATGTGGACAATTGTCACCATCCTTAAGTGGTTAATAGAATTAGAAAAAAAAAGAATATCAATACTAGTATGCCAGTAGTTTAATTGGTCCATATTACTCAAGTGTAAAATATTCACTCTAACAACTAAGACACTCCTGTTGCTTTTTTATCTATCACATGGTGTTATTTAACACTATATTGATTCATCTCTAGTGTCTTAATATAAACAGTGTGAATAATAGCAAAAATGAGTCAAAACAGCTCAAGGTCAGTACAACTCAGATTG